TAATTACACTGTGGTTACATAACTGAATGCCCTTCTTCCTTAGAAATACATACTAAAATATTTTGGAACAAAGGGTCCTGATGTCAGAAAAAAATACAATAATAAATGTGGAAAAATGTTAACAATTAATGGATTTGAATGAAAAGTGAATAAAGTTATTTGATCTATTCTTACAACTTTTCAATAAATCTGAATTTCAAAATAGAAGTTTTTTTAAGCTAATGAAGGATAAAATATAACAAAAGTACTTGACTCATCCAAAAAAGGCAGTAAAGGAAAAATAAAGGAAAAAAGAACAGAGGGACAGATAGAAAACAAGTAACAGGATGGTAGGACTTAAACCCAATTATATTGGTATTTACACATTGTAAGTATAAAAAAGTCAAATTATATTAATAATTATATAATTAGTAAATACTTATTATATTAACATTATTTTATTAAGTTATATATCTTACTATATAAACCCAATTATATTAGTATTTACACATTGTAAGTATAAAAAAGTAAACCAAATTATATTAATTATATAATTAGTAAGCACTAATTATGTTAATAATTATTAAATACAGTAAATGTAAGAAAAGTAAATATTCCAGTTAAATGACAAAGCTTATCAGACTGGATTAAAAATCAAATCAAACTATATATTACTTAGAAGAGACACATTTTTTTAAAGTAGGCTCCATGCTGAGCATGGAGCCCAATGTGGGACTTGAACTCATGACCCTGAGATCAAGACCTGACTTGAGATCAAGAGTCAGATGCTTAACCGACTGAGCCATCCAGGCACCCCAAGAGACCCATTTTAAGCATAAGGGCACAGATAGGTTGAAAATGAAAAGATGGGAAAAGATACACTGTACAAACATTAATCAAAAGGCATAAGGACTAAGGGAGTGGTCAAGTATGTCAAAGTGTGCAAAAAAAAAAATCTAATAATTAGAATAACACAATTGACTTTGGCAATAATTTTATCATTTCAACCTTGTTAAAAGTTATTGCAATGAAGTGTTGGGGATAAATACCCAACTGAAGTAGGTTGAGCAGAAAATAGGAAATGAGGTTTTGGAGCCAGAGAATAGACACAGCTCAGAACATTTTGTTATAAAAGGAAGCAAATTAGGGGCACCTGGGTGGCTGTCAGTTAAGCAGCTGCCTTCAGCTCAGGTCATGATCCCAGGGTCTTGGGATCAAGCCCCGCATCAGGCTCCCCATGCAGTGGGGAGCTTGCTTCTCCCTCTGCCTGCTGCTCCCTCCTGCTTGTGCTCACTCTCAGACAAATAAATAAAATCTTAAAAAAAAACAAACAAATTAGATGGTTGATAGAGTGGGAACTGGGGTCAAGGGTTTATCAAATGTATCAGGAAAGAAGTCAGGATATGTGAAAGTGAATGCAAACAGGTTAGTATATTCGGTTGTAGAAAAAGTAGCTCTCATCTGTGTGTATGGAACATTTGGTGAGGAGGGGAAATGAGTAGTAAAGATTTGAGAGGAAATGTAAATTAGTGATCTTGGTAAAAGGGAATAGAACAGGGAAAATGTAATAGATGCTGTCGAATTAGCTAATTTGAGATTTGTGGTCAGAAATTTGAACTGAGTCTAGTCGACCAAGTTATATGATGTTAAAAGAAAATTATTGTGGACAAACATTAAGAGGAAAAAAGGAACAAGGGATTAAGGGTGTTTTCAAGGGTGTGGTAATAGTGCTGAACTATGAACTCTAAAGTAGACAAAGAAGGAAATAAGGACTCAAGAATGGGATGCTTAGTAGAAAAGTGGTTAGGATTAGAAGACCTCATGAGATTACAGAATTATAGAAGTGGATAAAAATAGAAAGTGATTGTATCAGGGAGTAGGTATTTGAAATCATGTATTTGCATGTGGTGCAGTTATTGGTAGTGATAATATCTGGAGTACAACCATATGATCTGATAGTTGAGATACAATGGGAGAAATGACAACTGGAGCAAAGGTAGTCATTTAGAATAATTTTAAATAAATTATCTGTTTGGACGTTAGAGGTGCCAGGAATGATGAACAGGAGGGGTGGTAGATCCAGGTGCTAACCAAGAAGATGGTAGCAATAAAAAGAACTACTGGTGGAAAAATGTGAGTCCTTTAAAGGAGGGAAGGAAGCTTGGGTAGGTAGGTACATCAGGAACCTAAGAAGCTAACTATGGAAGTGGCCAACCTCACACTGGCTTTTGGAGTTATGGTGCCTAAAAGATTCTTCCCAACAGGTTGGTCTAAGTTGTGCTTGGTACTGGAGTCGTTGAGTGAACGAGGTATTGAGAGGGAGAAACTGAGGATGACTTGAGATCAAGCTTTCGTGACTACAAGGATGGTGACATCTTCAGTAAAGAGCACTAGAGAGGCATTTATTTCTAAGGGAACATGAGCTTCGTTACCTTTTTCTCACTTTTCTTAAATTTGGATTTAATTTTTAATTATTAACATGTTTATTTCATATGTGCATACATACATTCAGACTTGAGGGTAACAGGTGGAAAATTAGACAAAACATTTTGCATTTTTTTTAAGGTTTTTATTTATTGGTCAGAGAGCACAAAGCAGGGGAAGCGGCAGGTGGAGGGAGAAGCAGGCTCCCCACTGAGCAAGGAGCCTGATGTGGGACTGATTCCAGGACCCTGGGATCGTCACCTGAGGTGAAGGCAGACGCTTAACTGAGCCACCCAGACACCCCTTTGCACCTGTTTCTAAGAAATTTTCTCAACTCTGTCTAGTCTAACAAAGATGAATTTTATGTTCTATCAAATAGGTGAGGTTTTCAGGTGAAACTGTTGGGAAGTAAATATTTTCTATTTCCAAGATAATCAAGAGAGAAGGAGAGACTGCCATGTTATCAGACAATAGCAGGTATTTTGTTGAAAAACATACAGAATTAACAGCCTGGCACAATTAAGTTGTGTCACCTTACATATGAAAGGATGTTGTAATGAGACATACTGAGTATTCCTAGGAAAACTACTCATTCTCCTAGAGGACTCCCACACTTTTTATGAAATACAAAATAAGCAGTATTTAGAATAGTGATCTTTATTCCCATTTTACCAGAAAGATAACAGAGAACATGAACAATTTACTAGTCAGAAAAAAATGTTTTATAACCTCAAAACAAATGTTTACTCACCAAGAGCTGTAAATTGCTTAAACTGCTTAAATTGGAGATTTCAGTGGGATTTTTAGCAGTAATTCTGAAACTCTTCAGTTACACAATGTTCAAGGCATGGAAAAGTGTTTTTCTACACAGCACAACTGAAATGTCATTTAATCAAGTAGACAAATACCTTGTAGACAACCAACGTAGTCAAATACCAAAGCTTCAAACCGTTCAGGGAGGCATAAACTACCTATTTTCTACACTTTCAGCTGGTATCAGTCTTTTGTTTTCATTTTCCAAGAACGACGGCTGTAAAATGGCTATATTCATTAGCCTGCCACCTAAAAAGCATTAATTTGTAGAACAAATGAGCAAGTTTTCGTGTGTTCTTGAAGTATAATAGAGTTCCTTCACTTAAATATATTTTTTATTCACAGAATATTTTACAAGACTGCTTGCACTTACAGATATCATGTAGTAGGAATTCTCCAACATTGTAATAGACCAAGTGATGCCCACTCACAGACGTAGAAATACAAGTTGGGGGAGTTTAATACTTTGATTTTAGAGTTGCTAGAAGAGGCACAGAAGGTTCATTTCATGAGTGTTGAGGGGAAAGGAGAAACGGACTCCTCTCACCCTATTAAAAAGTTTTTAAATCTCTAATAAATTTATTTCTTTGAACTATGGAGTCTCAGAAGAGGAAGTCGTCCTAAAGAACTGAATCCTTCTAGGTTTTAGCTCATTCTTTTTCCAGATGGCCTGTTCTGTTCTTGGAGAGTTTTAATTACTAGAAGAATCTTTTTGCCCTGAACCAAAATCTGTCTCCCCTAACTTCCCAAAGTTGGCCCCACTTTGGAGCTCTGGAGATCTGCAGGCCAGTTCCTTCCAGGCTTTCTTCAGCCAGGCAGGCCAGCACCAGTGCAGGGCCGCGCCACCTCTGCTCGTCCTCCTCGTCCGCCGCGCAGCACGCAGTCGGGAGCTCGCTCTTCCCGGGCCTCGGAAGCCGCCACTTTCGCCGGGTGCGAATCAACGCGGCTAGCCAGCCCTCGGGTGGTGCGGCTCTCTCCTGACAATCGGGGGATGCCGGAGTCACTGGTGAGTGCATTTCATCAGGGGGCAAGTGTGCTCCAGTCCCAGAGGCACAGGGTGCAGCCCCGGCTCGTTCCTGTAAACCCGGGCGACGACCTCGTGCCGCCGGCTGGTCCGTGCGCGCCCGGCGCCGCGGAGGACGAAACGCCCCGGGGAACTTACTCAAGCCAAGTCCGGTTCTAAGACGGCCGGCACCCAGAGCTGTCAGCGCCGGGACCCCGCGCCTGCCCCTCCTCGGCCGCGCAGCCCCCGCGGGAGGGAGGCGGGCAGATGACGAGGGTGTGGGGGCGTGAGTCTGAGGGCGGCGGGCTCCGGCGTCGCAGGCGCGGGCTCCGCAGGCTCCGTCGCTGACCGGCCGGCCGCGGCGCGCGGAGCGTCGAGGTCGCCGCCGCCGGGGGATGGCGCGTGCGGGGGTAAGCGGCGCGGACGGCCGTCACAGGCACTCGCAGCCCAGGGCGCAGCAGCCCGGCAGGCACACGCACACGCGCACCCCGCAGCCGCCTCCCGCGCGGCCCCCGGCTCGGGGTGGCGGCGGCGGCGGCGGCCCGGGGCGCGCGGGCCGGCGCAGGGCAGGGTCCCGGGGCCCCCGGGGGCGGCGGGCAGGCGGGGGCGGCGCTCGGGGGCCTGTCTGGTCAGCACCCATCCTCCGGGCCCGCCTCACGGTCCGCGGCGCGACGGGGGTGGGGCGCCCACCGGCTCCCAGACCGCGGCGGGCCGGGCGCGGGCGGGCGCGGGCTCCTGCGCCGCGCGCGGACGCTGAGCGCGGCCTGTCTGGCAGGTCTGGATGCTGGTGGTCGGCGTCCTGCTAGCGTTGGCGCCGGGCCGGACCGCAGGCGCCCTGAGAGCGAGCAGACGTCCGGCGCGGCCGCGGGGCTGCGCCGACCGGCCGGAGGAGCTCCTGGAGCAGCTGTACGGGCGGCTGGCGGCGGGCGTGCTCGGCGCCTTCCACCACACGCTGCAGCTGGGGCCGCGCGAGCAGGCGCGTAACGCGAGCTGCCCGGCAGGGGGCAGGCCCGGCGACCGGCGCTTCCGGCCGCCCACCAACCTGCGCAGCGTGTCGCCGTGGGCCTACAGGTGAGCCGCGGGGCCGCGGTGGGGCGGGCAGGGCGGGGCGGGGCCGAGGCAGGTGGGATGCGACGGCTGGGGCCAGCGAAAGTGAGGTGGGTGGTGAGGAGGGCGGGGCCGGGCGTGGCAGGCAGCGAGTGAGCGGTGAGGGCAGGTGGGGTGGGGCAGGTGCGGAGGGGCGGGGCGGTCGGGAGAAGCTAGGTGGGTCGCGGGGAGGGACCGGGCAGGACCGATGGAGCGGGGAAGGGCAGGTAGGGAGGGGCGGAGCAGAGACTGGGTTGGGAGTAATTCATTCCCACAAAGGTCTCATCACCTCCCTCGAAGGAAACCTGCTGCCCGTTGTTTACCCTTTCACTATTTAATATGGAACAGATGTTTCTTGAGTACCTATTTGTCAGGTATATAGTTCAGTGGGTTCCACAAGGGACCAAGCCAAGTGATCCTTCATTAATTTTTATAGAATTGTGTACAGGAGACCTGTGAAGTTCTAGTGTGGCAGTCTACAGACATTTTTGGAGTGCCTGTGGTGGTGGTCCAGACACTGTTGAGCATTGAACCCTCAGAAGCCCGTCCTCTGAGCTTATAGTCTAAGGGAGGAGTGGAGATAATTGGTAAAGTAACCATAATACAAGGCAGAACATGATTTGACAGGAAATCTTAAAAAGTGTGTGATAGTGTAAAGTGGGGAGGGGGATCAAAATGGCAGTTGAAATGTATTTTGGAGAATGGGCATAACTCTGAGATTGGCCTGGTAAAGAGGTCAGCTCAGAAGAAAGGAACAACGTACAAAGCAGGGAGGCTGGGGTGTTCTGGGGCTTTGGAGGGAAGAGTGTGGTGGGAGTGTCCCCAGCACACATTTATGACTGTCTCCTTCCCTGCTGTTAACTGTGAATCCCACCATCTTCAAGGGGCTCAGAGTTCGCGGTACAAGGAGGGAGCCCTCACACTGCCACAGACGTGGAAAAGCCCTCGGTGAAAGAGCAAGGACAAGAGTGGTTCAGAGGGAAGGAGTGGCTTATTGCAAGGGGGAAGAGTGGCCAGCGCAGGTGTGTTTCTATGTGGCTGGGAATGGCAAGAGAGGAGGCTGCAGAGGGGAGCAGAAACTAGATGTGGCCTTAAAAGCAATGCTACAAGTTTGAAATGTATCCTGTAGGATGTTTTTTTGATGAAGGAAGTCATGTGACCATTTGTGTTTGGGGAAGGCTTACCTGATGAGGGATGGATCCAAGGGGAGAGAGAGGGCGAATGCAGAGCCATACTCCCCGCAAAAGGTAGTTAGGGTCTGAACTTTGGCAGTGGGACAGTGGAAAAAGTGAGACTAGGGTCAGTTTGAAAGATATTACTTAAAGAAGTCAAAGTGACAGGACTTGGTGGTTGATGATTATATGTGGGAGTGAGGGAGAAAGAGAGGGTCCACACTGCTATTAAGATATGCAGAGAAGGGGGCGGCTGCCTTTGGCTCAGATGGTGATCCCAGAGTCCTGGGACCGAGCCCTAAGTCGGGCTCCCTGCTCAGTGGGGAGCCTGCTTCTCCCTCTCCCTCTGCGTGCTCTCTCTGCCTATTTGTGCTCTCTCTCTCTCTCTCTCTGTCAAATAAATAAATAAAATCTTTAAAAAAAAAAGATATGCAGAGAAAATGTAATGATTTTGTCTAAAACTAATCCAGGCTTCTCCAAGCCTCCCCCTGCTGGTCAGGGGGCTTCCCTCCTCCTGGCTACTCTGCAGAGGACGAAGTTCACTTGTGGCTGAGCTCTCTCCCACCAAGGAAGTCAGGCCCAGGACTCCCTCCTGCCTTCACCGTCTCTTCATTCATCTGATGCCCTCAGGACACACATGTTGAGCCATTCATTTTGGTGGCTTCATTCTCTTGCCTTGCCTCTTCCTTCCCATCATTCCCACAGACCAAAAGGGTGGGCTTTTATATTATCCTTCTTCCTCCAACCTCATATTACACCTTTGATATGCTAAATAGCATTAAAGAAACTCGGAAGATCTCTCAAAACAACAGCTTGGCTTCTCCAGACAGAAGCTACAAAGTCTGCATTTTTCTTTAACGAATTCTAAGCTCTCCTGGCAAATAGATGTCTCCCAGGCTAGGCTGTGGCCCAAAAGGCAGAAGAGTAACACACAGTGATTTTTCAAGAGCTCCTGTTGGGCATCTCCCACATTTCTGGCTTGGGTTGTTGACAGTATTTAAGCAAAATGGAGAAACTGAATGAGGAGAGTTTTTGGAGGGAAGTAAATTCAGTACTAGACCTGTTGAGTTTTATGTGCTGTGGAGAGGAGCACAGGTATAAATGTCCCGCTTGACTTGGCAGTGTGGTCTCAAGAGAGATTGGGGCTGAAGTACAGATCAGGAGTTGTCAGCCCTAGAATTCTGCATAGTAAGGTAAATTGAGTTGCCCTTATTACCTTACCTGTGTCTCCTAGGAAAGATCCAAGAGCAGCGGGGAGGGGGGAATGGCTAAAGGAGGTCATGGAAAAGAACAACACACAGTATAGAGCGCCTTTGTGCTACATGGGCCTGGGAGTAGGAGCTACATCTGTATCAGGTGGCTGACGATGGTATCATCTGCATTACTTTTCTTATTATTTAGCAACACTGATGAAATTGCTCCCCCCGCAAGCAAATGGAGGCTTACACTCTCTGAACAAAGGACGGTCTTCTAGGGGTGGGCACTGGGCCAGGACTCCAGATTGCTGGGTGCTAAAGTGGGCCCTGCCTTCTCCCACCAGGAGATGGCCTCTTTGCTCTCCTGACCTCTGATCACTTCTCACGGCCTCCTGAGTCACTGGAAGACTGGAAAAAGCATTGCGCATAGGAACTCAAAGCCTCTTCGCAAAGCAGTGTGTAGAAGGACGGGACTGGTTTCTTAGTGGTGTCACCGTGGGACCTGTGTAGCCTGGGGGGGAAGAGTGTGCTCACCTTGCAACCATAAGCGTGGAATTAGAAGTAGTACATAAGGCTAAAAACAGAGAGAGCTCCTAAGGAAGATGGATGGGGAAACAGACTGCCAGTCAGAAATACTGAAAGGCACAGAAAGGACTTCTTAGGTGGATAAGACAGGTTTTAAAATAGAAATTTGGATTATAAGGTGGCTTTTCATACTTTGAAGGGAGAGATGGCTCATTCAAAATGGTGTTGGGACAACTGAGTAACCAACTGGAAAAACATATGATTGTATCTTACTTCTATATACAAATAAATTCCAAATAACCGAAAGATTTAAATGTAAAAATAAAACTACAAACACATGAAAAACACCGTCAATTATATCTACAGTGTTGGAGTGGAGAGGCCTATTTTATTTAGTAGCTTATAGACCCCCAAAGCCATAAAAGACAAGACATAAATTCAGCTACACAATTATGTGCCATTTCTTCTGGCAAAATAAACAATAAAATAAAATTAGAAAAATACAAGGGGAAACTGGGAGAAAATACTTGCAACCCATGTCACAAAGGGGTCATTTCCTAAAGAGCTCCTACAAACCAATAAGAAAAAGATGTAATAAGGGGAGGAACAAAGGTCATGGGTAGTTGCTGGGGAAGGAAGGTCAAATGAGTCAGTTATGTGAAATGCAAAGAGATGCCTAGCTTCAGGCATCCTAAAGTGAAATGCATGTTAAAACGATGCTGGGAAACCTTTCTTTCTTTTGGGGGTACCCACCAGGCTCTGTTGGCAAGGAGGTGAGGAAAAAGGCATCCTCATACAGCAGAGGGTATGAATCCGGACAACCAGCTACTAGCTATCCACATTTTAAATGTACGTGCCCTTTGACCCAGCAATTCTAGGTACTGGTTTACTCCTCCAGCCACACTTGTCTGTGTACCACATGATGTATGTACAAGCGTTTCCACTGTGGCAATAGGGCATTGGAAACCATCCCAACACCCACCAATAGCCAACTAGTTCAATAAAATGCCATAAAACAGCCAGAAAGAGGAACGGGGCAGCTGTAAACCTGCCTAAGGAGACCAGTCCATCACCAACATAGAGGGCAACAAGGCAAGGCACAGTACAGTGTTATTTGTGTGTTAAAGAGAAGCTATTATATAACATACATATGTTATTTTTAAATGTACACACACACACCACCCCACACACTTAGGGGCATCTTTGGAACGTGGTTATCACGGTGCCTGCCATCAGGAGGGGATCTGGAAAGCTGGGGACGGAGGAGGAAGGAGACTTACTTTTCACTCCTTCCTATCTTTTGAATTTTCTACCATGTGCATGTATTATTGATTTCAAAAACATCTTCATTTTTAAATTGAGAGCAGAAAGGGAAATTCACCAACCATGAGGAAAAAGCAGAGAGTGAAGAAACAAAACAGCAGGTAACTACAGCCTTTGATTTTCCCTGAGCTTTGGTCTGAAGAGAATTGTTTGTTCTTACAGGCCATAGAGCTGACAGCAGAGACACTGCACTTTTTAGGGCCCCTTGTGCCCCCAGAGCTAAGCTGCTACAGATGAGGAACTTGGCCTGGAGACATGAAGGGATTGGGGGAGGGGGGACAGGCATTAAATGGTAGAGCCAGGACCTCATCCCGGATCTGTGATTCTATCTAGCCCATGCTCCAGACCAATGTGCTAGTAGAAAAGCAGCATTCAACTTTGAGAATATAAAAATATTTTCTCATTTACTTTGTGGCATCATGTTTGTTTCTCTTAAGATTTAGAAACAAAAATGCCAAAAATAAAATCAATGTAATTGCTCATTAAGTTTTTTAAGCCGGATTGACATAGTAAGAAATATATTGTAAGAACTCTGAGGTTCATTAAGTTTTAAAGGTACACATCACTCATGTATGTTGAAACCCCAAAGATAAACACCTACCAATAGTCTAAGTAATTTTTAAATTGTTTATATTTTTCAATTTTGGGTCATGGTCTAAAGATAACTTTTCTCTAGGATATGACTAATGCACAACAATTTAATTTTGTTGAGAGGAAAGTGACTTTCCTTTGGTGACTTAAAAATAGAGGTGACCCCCAGCAGGGAGCC